CTTTTCATTTTTTGTACTAAAGAGTTTCCCATGTGGCTTTACTGAAGGTCACAGAGAAAGAACTGCATGCTGCTTTATTTAAAAGAAAAGGATTTCTTTGAACAAGTTAAGAAGTCAATATCCTGTGTAGCAGCGGTTCTCAACCGGTGGTCTGCAGCCCCCAGGGGGTCCACGAATCCCTTCAGGGGGCCGTGGAGTCCTGCCGCTGAAACCCGATGCCTCAAGCAGGGCATGGGAGAAGCCAGGAGCGGTGCAGGGCTGAAACCCCAAGCTGTTTCTCCCCCATCCCCCTGCTAAAACCAGGAACGGTGCAGGACTGAAACCCCAAACTCCCCTCCCCCAACCCCCTTTGAAGCCAGGCGCGAGGGCTGAAACCCTGATGTAGGCTGAAACCTTGAGCCCATGGGCAGTGTTGAGGGGGCACAAGCATGTTGCCCCCACAAACGGCAGTGCCTTACCCAGAGTGGGGCAGTCCTGGGTTTTGATTACATTTCTCCTAACTTTTCTCCTAAATTTTAAAGTTTTGACAACCATAATCTCTCACATACAACATCCTGCTATGGGAGGTTCACTGTAAAGCCCTAGCTTGAGCTGTTATATTAAGCTGCTTGAGTCTGACTGCTGACATTCAAAAATATGCTGAGTAATAAGACACATTCAAGCAGGTCAGCATATAATTTTTGCACAACTTGTGTTTTTTCACACACACAAACACTAATGGTATTGAGAACCTTTATTCATGTGGACTGTGTTTTCATACACTTTTTCTAACTGCAGTAAAAAGTTATAGATATAAATATTAAAATTATATATGCAGCTATTTCAAAGCTTTTATGGGAAAGTGATTTAATTGATTTTACTACCTAAAACTGTAATAAGTACAGTTGATAAAAGTCACTATAGCCATATTTTAGAGGCAAACTTTAGCTGCATCAATCAGTACTGTGAACAATCAACTGAAAACTACAAATATAATTTCTCAACTTCTCTCAAGTTCTGTCTATAATTTCCTGTATCTCTGTGTATATAGGAAAGAAAATATGAATAAATTTAAATGGTATGTTATATTTGTGCAATTGTATTAATATATTAATCATTTTTGCATAATGTCTCAAGCAAATTTAATAGGTCACTTATCCATGGTGATATGCAATAGCAACTTTATGTCTGCGATCACACCAGCCTTAATTAACCCACCACTAATGTAGTGAAATATAGGTTTTTGAATGGCATTAATTTAAAAGGAGTCTGCTGTATGTAAAATTTCTTTATCATACGTCATCAATGTAGATATCAATGCTGAGGTAAGAATGTCAGCTTCTGACCAGACAAAATTTGGGTTTTTTAAACAAAAGAATCATTTCATATGTAATGGAGAGAGTCTCTGTGAAATTTCTTTCAGGGAGGGATATTCACGGCTGTTTGAAATCAACATTACAATACACAGTTTCTTATAAAGATGGATTTCACCCAGGGTTCTGGAACAATTTTTATAGTGGGGGTGCTGAGAGTCATTGAATCAACTGTAAACCCTGTATATAATGGAAACCACTTCAAGCAAGGGCAGCACCCCTAGTTCCAGCACCTATGATTTCACAGAATCTCAGTGGGAAAATGCACTTTTCAGCAGTCACCAATGTAGTCAAAAATGGGATAACAGAATACATTTGAGCAGTCCAGTGCAGCCAACAGCAGCAGTGACTGTGTTAACACCACAATTTCACGTGCTCTATTACGATTCTACTCAAAGGAGATAAATTTTGCTCTGAAATACATCCTGTGTAACCCCATTGAATCCAGTTCAATTGTATGGGATGCGTGCTATTGCAAAATTTGTCCCAGGTGTTTAGACTATCTCAGCATTTATATCTGTGCATCTACATTGTTCTGAGCTCTTTGATCTCCAAAGATTCACAGTGTACTCTTCCTAGAATACCACTGCTTGTGAGCTCTTTGAAACTATTATTCAGCACTGTATGTATAAATTTTGCCTTTGAAAAACCTAAAGATTCCTGGATTGATCTTATGTGTGTTTGTGGGGGGGGGGAGGGGGATGCCAAAACCCCTTGAATACATACACAGTAAACTATTCAAATATGAATAATTCAAAAGGTGGAAAAAAACTTGTTTCTTGAACTAGTTCATGAAAAGATGTGGATGCAGTCATTTAAGTATATGCTGTCTCTATAAAAATAATGTATACGGTTCTTATACTTCGTTTAAATGTGAAAACTATGACATTCCTCTTTTTATGTCCTCTTTTTATTCTTATTCCATTCATCTATGATGTTTGTTGTAAAACATTTTTTATTGATGCACACATTGAAAGATCCCAAAGCACAACTGATACCCAAAATACTTCATCAAAATTTTCAAGGATTGACTGAGGCACCTGGCAAAGGTATAGAACAGTGACCTAAGGCAAAACAAGAGAAGCCTCTGAAAGTCACTATTCTTATTTGCAGCAATCAAAATTCTGAATGAATCTAAAATGTGTCATTTTTTGACAAATATCCACAACTAAATTCATATGTAAAACAACGGTCCCTTTTAAAAACAAAACCAGTTTATTATGCATAGCAACACTAATATTTTAATTACCAACTTATAACTTGTTATTTGCACAAGGGTGATTTGAATGAGATTAATTTAGTAGTAAATGACGCAAACTTACTTTATTTATTAACAACTCAACATTACAATAACTTTTATTAAAGACATTTAACAACCTGTATAACTTCATAAATCAGTACAGTAAAATACGTAAAGATTCAATTTTAAAATATTTGTAATGTTTTCTTTAACATGAGAATATTGTAGAAGCATTAATAATTCATACAAATAGCGAGCGCTATTCCATTACCATTTGCTGCCAGTGTTATTTAAAAAATTATACAGCATACAAAGTATACAAATATGCTCACATCTGAAAAGAAATTTACTAAAATGTAAATTTGTCTTGTTTGCAAAAAATACTGCATATTTACATTCATGGTAGATGGCCCTTTGAACGTGGGCTTAATTAAAAAAGGATGTGCTGAGACAGTAACTTAGACGGTAAGTAACAACAAATAGTAGGAATCTGTTTGGTAAGTACCATATTTACTAGTATCCATTTTTAGACTCTTCATAGCTTTCTTTAAAATCTTGACATATGTAAGTATAGCTTGCTTATTGTTTCCACACACTTCACAGATACAGTCCTGTATTTTAAACTCATTGTTATAATGAAATGCAGGACCAAGAAAGAGCCTTTGATTGAACAGGTTTAACAATGAAAGAGTTGGATTTAACAAATATTTTGCTTAAATTCCTGAACTGGATTAAAACTCTCAGTGAGTTATATGTATAACTGATACACATTGGATATATATAAGAAATTTAATTTTCTTCATTAAATAAGCTTGTATTAATGTTAGTTTCTGTTGCCTAATTTAATGTTCAGAAATAGCTAAATGATTTGATACCCTACAAAAAGTATATCTAGCATTATTTGGTAGTGATAATTTCTACATTTTAATTACTAAACGTTAAGTGAAATTCAGCTATGACCACTATTATTTTTAGTCTAATTAAATAAATGGCACTAGGTCCCCAAAATGCACACAATACCAACGTAAGACAACTGCTACCTATTTTTATACTAATACACTGCTTATGAAGCATACATTGATCAAGCTGATGACTAAATTAATAGAAAATTAGCTACAGAGTATTTATTATACGCCATTAGTGGTGAATGGCACTTAGCACAGAAAAGGGTAACTCCCCCCCCCCCCCCCCCCCCCACACACACACCTACTAGCAGATCAGTTTCAGTGCCATTATTGTCAAGCACATTAAATTTTCAGGATGCATGGTGTGGTTTCTAAGTTTTCTTTAACCCCTTGAACTGTGTTTTTACAATTAGGCATTTTGTATTTAAAAAGCCAGAGCTGAAACATTAATAAAAATATTCTGCAAACATCTACAAACCAAACATTTTTATTCTTCTGTTGTGACTCTTAATATTAGCAAAATTGGTCAAAATAAAATGACAACATTCACTGGAGATCTATTAACATTACAAGGCAACAATTTGCATGGGTGGCTCATTTGCCCCCTCTCCCCCCCTACAGAATGAGAAATGATCAAACTGAAGAAATTGTGTAAGAAAACAGACGAAAACCAATTTTACATCCAAGACATCTTAATCTCTAGTTTACCTATTCCAGTTCTTAGGGGAAAGGTAAAAACTAGAAACCATGTATTGTATATTTTAACCATGAAAACCAGCAGATTTCATAACTCATTACAAGATGATGTCAGAGGTTCATGATAAATGGCTTAGAGGAGATTAAACAAAGCAATGTAGCTCTTGAAGGTGATAATGTGGAACAAAAGTCATGTTTCTGAGACCTCTTGCTTTTCAGCAAAGGAAAATGAATACAGGATTCTTCTGGGAAATGCTAACAAAGGAAAATATAGAAGAAATTTAAAAGAGCCAATCCAGCTATTAAATTCTCAGAAGGCAACAAAGTAGCACCTTCAATGAACACTCACAGGCATTCCTAATATTTGTATTTAACAAAAAGACAGTTTTACAGCAGGAGAAACTGCTTACATGCCCCTTTTTCTGATCTATTCATTGTGCATCCAACTGCTCCTAGTGTACATAATATTCACACTTTCTTTCATTGCTATTAATGGGGAAATATCACAGGTAGCAAAACTGATGCTAATCCCAGGCTCACAACAAACAATCGCACACATGTAGTTTAATAATCTTTAAGGGAAGACTAGCCGTGCCTAACAATAGAAAACAGCCCAGAACGTCAAATAGCCCTGACAAGCAGGAATCGCTGAGTAGAGGCAAAGGGATGCTAACGAGTGAGAGAGGCAAGGTCAGGATGCGAGGAAGCATAGTACAGCTCTACAGCTTTCCGGGGGGGAGGGACGGGGACCTAACTGCAGCCATTTACACTGAAACAACATTTGTTAGGGAAGCAGGGGCGTCCTACCTCTTTCCCTCCGCCGTTTGGTGAGCAGCGATGGAGTGCGCAGTGGTTTCCTTTGGCGATGGATGCAACAGCAGCAGCTGCCCAGCCTCCCTCTTAAGCAGCCTCCATTGCTCTCCCCGCGGCTGCCACACCATGGCAATGCAAGCTCAGTCACTCCGGTGATCACATGCTCCCTGCAACCCACCAGCCCCACGCTGGGTAGCAAGAGAAGGCACGCTCCCGCTGCCTTGCCAAATGGGAGTGTTTGGGTAAAAGTTGGATCCTGCCGAATTGTATTGCCTTAATAGAGAACGGCTCCTACTGGGGAAAAAAGGTAAAAACTGGATTCTACCTGGATCCCGATGATATTTGTACCCAAGCCCCCAAATTCCATTGCTTAAACAGGTTTCAGAGTAGCACCCGTGTTAGTCTGTATTCGCAAAAAGAAAAGGAGGACTTGTGGCACCTTAGAGACTAACCAATTTACTTGAGCATGCTCAAATAAATTGGATGCATCCGATGAAGTGAGCTGTAGCTCACGAAAGCTTATGCTCAAATAAATTCGTTAGTCTCTAAGGTGCCAGGATGCATCCGATGAAGTGAGCTGTAGCTGCCATTTCAATGAGCATTTGTCTCTTTTCTATTATCATAAGTATCTTCATCTTCCCTACAGTGACTCATGGTCATGCTGCCTGAGTCAGTGTTCAGAGTAACAGCCGTGTTAGTCTGTATTCACAAAAAGAAAAGGAGGACTTGTGGCACCTTAGAGACTAACCAATTTATGTGAGCATAAGCTTGCTCAAAGAGAACCTCAGAGAACCTCCCCCAGCCCCAACCTAGCCCAGCCCCCAACCTGCCACAGTTGGGGCCGACCCCCGGCCCCAGCAATGGCCTGGGCACCCCAACCCGGCCCCAACCGTGGCTTGGCCCCAGCTGCAGCCCAGGCAGCCCTCCCAGCACCTAGCCCTAGCTGGACCTATGGGGGCCGGAGGAGGGGCACCTTTCCTGCGGCCCCAGCCCCAGAGCTGCTGCTGCAGCAGCAGCGAGAGGCATCTCTCCTCTCCAGCCCAGGTGCTGCTGTGGGGAGAGAGGGCTGGGGGAGTCCTCTCCCCCTGCCGTAGCCCCGGAGCACCCTCCTGCACCCAAACCCCTCATCCCCAGAGCCTGCACACCCAGCTGAAGCCCTCATCCCCTGAACCCAACCCTCTGCCCCAGCCCTGAGCCCCTCACCCCCAGCCCCACCCCAGAGCCCACCTTCCCAGCCAGATCTCTCACACCCCTACACCCCAATGCTCTGCCCCAGCCCTGAGTCCCCTCCCATACTCTGAACCCCTTGGCCCCACCATGTTAATTTTGTTATGTGCACCAGTATGAAGGTGATCTGTCACACATCACCTCCATATCGGTGCACATAACAAAATTCATTCCACACATGGGTGGGAAAAATTAGAGGGAACACTGGCGGTGGGAGGTAAATGGGATAGGGAGGCTGAACTGATGGGGTGGTGATGATCGAGGCTGAATGGTGGGGGTGGCTGGTGGTGGTGGAAGAGAATTGATGGTCAACAGTATTAATTGCTGGGCAGGAGACAGGCAGATGTGAGGGTGAGAGCTCCTGCAGCTGGGGCCAAAAATTGGCTTATCCACTACATGTGGGAGAGTGGGCAACATAATTGTCACTTGCACGCACACAGTGGGGATGGGCAGGGGGAGTTCAAAAATCAAGAGAGACTGACCTAAACAAGGTAATATTTTTTTTTTTAAAAAATGTCGTAATTTGGCGGGTTCTGACTCATGATTTTTGGTCTCTTAAACTTGGCAATGCTGAGCATCAGATCTTGGTATTTGCCACACTGTCAAGCTTAGATGCTGCATGGTCCATCTTGTGTGCATACATGTAAAAAGCCTTTTAATCTCTACAGTGTAAACTTTCTGTGGTTAGAGGACAAAAATTAGCTGGTTACAGTAATCTAAGCACCAGTTAACAAGGGTCAGTTTCACACCCTTACAGGGAGTGGAAATAAGTCAGGCTAGGATCACTAGCCCTTGCAGAGACGTGAAAAGACTAACACAGCTGAATCATTTTCCACAGTCTCCCCACTTAAGTGATAGATGGACTTGGAGAACAGATGGTTTAGTGACTTTTACTAGCTGTGTGTTTATTATACTGTATGTACCTGTACTATCTGTCAAATAATGCTTGCTTCCATCAATGCTGTGTTGTAGCCATGTTGGTTGCAGGTTATTAGAGAGACCAGGGGGGTGAGGTAGTATCTTGTAGTGGCCCAACTTCTGTTAACAGAAGCTTGGCCAGTACAAGATATTACCTCAGCCTCCTTATCTCTCTAGCTTTTGTCAATGTCATGATCGTTGAGAGTGAAGGCATCAATCCACTAGGTGGTGCAAATGAGCCACTTAGATTGAAGGCACTGAGTAAAAAAAGAAAAAAAGGAAAAAAAAAAAGCAAAGAACCACCCCATTCACTAAATTGGTTTTACGCACATTGATGCGGGAGAACAGAGTTAAAATTACAGCCACAGTATCGTAAACTACACATCTCTTTTTAAATCCAGAACATTAAAAATCTCCTGGGTTTGCATGTTCTTTGCATCAATAGGTATAAAATGTCACCAGGAGCTAGTACTGCAGCTTTTGTGGTTTATTGCTCACGTTTTTTCATTCAGGTGGGGCCGTTGGTGCCTGCGTCTGTTGGCTAGCCGTCGCCACTGGAGACCAGCGCTTCGAATAGGAGGGCCGGGGGGACTGGTACCACAACGGAGATCGTTCCCATGGTGCGGGGGATGGGGATCTGCACTGAGAATATGACCGGTGGGAGGGTGAATGGTGCCAGCAATACAGTGACTGGCGCCCCCCCCCCAAGCGATGCATGTTGAGAGGGCAAAGTGCTGGTGATCTTGGGCAAGCCGCAGACGACCTGGGCTGCAAAGCTGGAGATCTCTCAGGCTTGAAGTCAAAAGAGACAAAAACCGCTAGCCCTTGCTAGGCACGGAAAAGGAGCACTGACTAACCACCACAGGCGGTAAGGAGGAACCGAGAGGGCATAGGGCTGGCAGCGCCTAATATACTGAAGCATGAGCATGGCAATCAAGAGGGTGCCAAAGCTGGCCCTACGGATATCGCTAAGGCAAAAATCTCCAACAGCCACGCACGTGAGCGTGTGCACACCTCGAATAGAGCAGATATGAGCAAGCACTCAAAGAACGATTACCCCAATACATAGCACACATTTTTCCTGATATTCAAACTAAAAATCTCCCACTGAATTTCATACCATTATTCATAGTTAAACCCTCTTTCACTAAGTTAAACTGTACGTTAATTCTGCTCCCGTGTGTCTATCTTATGAATGGCGGAAAAAGTGTCATCACCTAACTAAAGATTATAATGTTTATAACAGGGACTGAATAAAGGTTTTATAGGCAATCATAAATCTGGTAGTTCCCAGCTGTCAAGTGTTTAACTTTGCAATTTAAAGAATGTTCTTTTAATGATGTTTTTGGTATGCAATTTCCTAGGCTTTCCCCTCTCTCTCCCCCCTTGATAAGGAAACAATTTCTTAGTACAACAGTAAAAATTCCTCCATCATGTATGATTTGAACCATGAACCTTAAGCACTGCGGGAGAATTCTACCAACTACGTTAGGTAGCAGCTGGAATTGGGGGGGGTTAGGCTGAAGGTGTCACGTGCTGCATCCAGGGGCAGGGTGAGGTGGGTAATGGGAGACTGGCCTGGGCCTCCCCACTTTCCTCACTCTGCAGCAGCTACTCTGGCAGCTCCCAGTACAGCAGCAACATGGGCATGACTATGTTCCATTGTTTGGCACAGTGCCAACATTTTTCTGAGGCATGGAAACAAGGTAAGAGAAATGGTGATTTTTTTAAAAAAAAAAAAAAGTTCAGATAAACCTGAATGGAATTTCATAGGACATAAATCAAGCACTTTCAAATGTCTGCTGCAAATAGTGGAGGTGTTGGAGCATCTTCAAAAAAGGAGCAAGAATATTTTACAATGCAAAATATTAGGCAACTTAAATATAGGGGTTGCTACCAGCTCTCTCGATTACACACATGGTTAATAGTTATAGGTGGGGATGGTAATAGTTGCCGATACTTCCCATTATAAGACCCTATTTTCAGTTGCTTATAATTTTGTAAATTGTAACCGTTAGAGCTAAAATGCTTCATGCCAGGTGTCCGCCTGAGTCTGATTTTGTTTTGCAAAACTTCAGCCAAAATGATTTAGCCACTTCCAAGAACAAGGCTAGGGAAAATACAGTGTTTTATTTATTTTTAAAAAATTCTGGTGACCTTTTCTTTGAACAACTCTATTGCCCACATACTCTGGAGAAGGGAGTTAAAATTTGGGAGGAGGTGGCCGTTGTGTCAGGGATATACCTGTCACCATTCTGTGAAAGTCTGTCCAAATTTGGCCAAGTTATAATCCTGTGAAAGTTTCACTTCACATATGCACAATACAGACTTCTTGGAGTTTAGTAGCTAAAATTTCCAAAGATTCTGAGTTCAACAAGCATGCTCAGATGTCTCAAAAGAAGCTACTAGTGATGACCAGATGGTGCATACACCATTTGCACAGAGCAAGTGAGCATGCTATGGCCCAAAAGTACAGGGGTGAAGCCAGACATTCCCTGTCATGGATGCTCTGGACTGGGGCCAGGCACTAGACCTGAAAGCAGGGAGCTTCTCTCTCCCGTGCTCTAAATGACACCTCCCCCCCCTCCCCCATTTGGCACACAGGCATTGTAGAAGTGGGAACAGATTCTAATGCACAAGAGAGATGGTGCTCACTTACTGATCAGATATTCAATATTTTATTTTATCCTCATTGTTCAATGAGCAGCCCGAGGCCTTATTTACTGCACGCTATTCAAACCCTGCTCAGAAAGACAGAATTATTCATTTCCTCATGAGTTTTTCCATGATTTTCACCACTATAGTATCTGAGTGCTTTACAAGCATTAATTTATTTTCACAATACTCCTGTAAGGTGAAAGTGTACTATCCCCATTTTAGAGAGGAGAAGCTGTTACAGTTACTCCACTTACCACTGGTCTGGCACCTCCATCTTGTCATTTCTGGGGATTAGTTCTTGAGGCCAACACCCTTGTCCGCAGCTTGCATGCGGTCACTCTGACTCCAGTCTGCAGCTCCTCTCACTCCAGGACCCACTGCATCCTCTTTGTGATTTAGCTCTCTAACTAGGTCACTCAGTTCCCCCTTCTGGGTTTCAGTCCGTTTACAGTCCTAGGCAATCTTCCCA